GACTAATATTCATCTGTCATGTGTTCCTCATCCATTACTATTACCATCCATGTGACGTCTCTGATCTCTCTCTCGCTCTCTGTTTGTGAGCATGTGGGCGTAAGTATATAAATATGTTTTATGAATTTAATGTTGGGTTGTCTGAAAGCACTTCTTGTCTACACTCCATAAAGCAGTTTTCAGTCTCAGCCTGTCTGAGTTTCTTCTGCTTGATGTGTAAAATTGGACTGTTTTTGCTTCCATATATTCCTGAGGCAGGGGATCTGAGTGGGTTTCGTTTTTCCTTGCCTCCTGAGGCACACAAAATGTTTCATGTTTTTGTGGGTTGGAGTCAAACAGAGTACTACACACTAAGGCACAAACTGGAGGTTGCCATAGATTGATCTGCTCCCCTTTGCTTGTTTTCTGTGTGATTGCTGTATTTTTGTATATGTGTCTATGTGTGGTGTGGGGAATGTAAAGCTTGCTGCCTGTGATGAATTACCACAGCAGTGGAGACAAATTTGGATGTTGAAGAGCGCCGGTTTTGCACGGAAATTTGTGCTGCCTCTCAGCTTTGTGTAATGATGAAGAACTAGGTGCATATCAGCCAGAGGAGGAGTGCAACTGTTGCAAATGAAAAGCACAACAAATGCACACATCGAAGCAGGCAGGAGAGGAACTGGGCCATGATATATCTACTGTGTGTGTGCTTATAGTCGAAGCCTTGGGCACGGGGTTTGGAGCCACAGCCCACCACCCCAGGGACCCCCTGCCCTCAATACAGGAGCTTCAGTGTAGATGTGGGTTTGCTGTAAAGAGACCATGTACTGTGAAGCTGAGTGGCAGTTTTTATAGAAAACCCACCATGGTGCCGCATGGCACTGTATGTGTGAAAGAAGATGAAAATTTCAGTTTGCAGGCCCCATAGTGCAGTGTGACTGTGGCGGTTGTTAATGAGTCATGAATGTCTCAAATTAAAAGACATGAAGAGCAGAGCTTGTAGGCATCTGACAGAGGTGACAAGCTTAACAGGTTGATCACTGACAGTCCTCATTAATTGTTTATGAAATAGATCAATGCTATCTGGGTCTGCACACTCAAATGAGAGGCTTGCATGATAATCGTCATGTTCATGTTGACTTAATTCAATACGCAAAATCTTTCACATCTGACTCGTATGTTTTGTTTAGACCATTTATAACATGATATAATATATTTTTGGTCTACAAAAAAACTTTTATCAGACGAGCATGCAGTTATATAACATTTATATAAGTTGTAATCTGCTCTTCTAGTGATAAACTGATTTTAATTGTGTGTTCAGTCACAACCTGTGAAGCTGGCAATAAGCATGTCTCGGAACAGTAGACTAAATCAGTCACAAACACTGTATGAAATTCTCACGAATTTGTTTTTTTACAAAACAATTACTTAGTTACTTCCACACTTTAAGAGACATCCTCACCTTAATAAAGGTTATGGCTGAGCATGTAGTGGCTTATGAACCGCCTTTATCTCTCCACCAAAATTATTTAGCCTACCTGGAGTAGTATCTTTTCTGCATTGCATAACTTCTATGCATGGTTAAGATTTGGACATACATGTAGATACTGATATAACTATCAATCTAAATATAAAGTTTTTTAATTAAAATATCAGTTTACCATCTAATGTGGCCACATGGCCAACTGTCTTTTCCTTATTTAATAGGTCATACTATGAACAGTCCCTAGTCCCCCAGTGAACAATTGAACAATAAAATAAATATATAGGGCTATTTATTTGGCCTGAAAATATAAATAGAGCTCTTGGCCTAATTTATTCTAACATGATCATAGCTGATCATAAATATAATATTGAACAAAACCATAAGCTCTACTAAGGAAGGATTTATTACTGTATTGTTGTATCAGATTGCATTAGTTTATAAACTTCAAAGTCATGTATCTAAACCCATATATGCAATATAATCATACTTGGAAGATTACTCATCTGCACGTTGCGGCTCTCTTCTTTTAAGGGAAGCCGACCGACCAGTCTGGGTCACTGCTGGTACGACTGGCCCTAGCTCAGCCTTCTGGCAATGCTGTATATGTCTCCTGCTAACAGTGTACAGTACTCATCATTCCCCTAATTTCACTTTACATAGATGATGTTGAAATTTTCCTTCTGTTCACCTAAATTACAAAAACATGATTGTGATACCCAGTTGTTTTTTAATGTGTGCTTTAATGAATGTTTGACCCCATGTTTACCAGAATACATTAATATGGAATATAATGACCTTTTGCCCATTAGAGGACCTGGTAGCATCACAAAGTCTTAGTCTGAGTCATAGAATTGGGAATTGGATATATATTTTCTGTGTGTTATTGTTCCACAGGGACTTGTCAGATGAAATGGAATGAGTGAGAAAAACACACACAACCTTAATCAGAGCAATGTCCTCCTACCCTTTACTAAATCAGTGGTTGGACCCTGCAGTCACACCACAGCTGAGGGTACAGCTTGCCCTCTATGCAGCCAGTGAACTTGTAATGACTTTCCTAGCGCTGACAAATCTAATGTATACCTGCTTAGTACAGCACACACTGTCTAATTGTATTTGAACATATGAAATATCTCTGTTATTACTACACTCTTATTAAATATGTAGACAAAAATGCTAATTATGAATACTGCACCATACATTGTGCAGCCCCAGAAACGGTACACATGTTCACAGTGGCAGACCGTGCATTTCGTACCTGAGCCTTCAGTGGGGACTTACCTGATTTAATTCACCTCTTAATACCACCATACTACCAATTATAGAAACCATCAATACTATACAAAAATGCAATATAATTAGCGTGGGATTACAGAGAGAGAGAGAGAGAGAGGTATTTCGCATATTGAGGGTGAATACCATTTTTACTAAAGCAAGAAACCCAGTTAAGACAACTCTAAACCTCTACACTACAACTGCAACTGCGCTAGGTTCATCATCCAGAGCAGTTCAGAATCAATACTTATTTAATAACATGACAAAAACATACAAAATTTAAATTAAATGCATCATACTCACCAGAGATGCTATTTATTTATATACTAAATCCATCTTCATGGAGGTCATCTCTGCGTTTCACTTCCATCAGTAAGTCCTTTTCTAGTTTTGCTCTGACCAACCAATAAGAGGACAGAAAAATGCTGACATCATTGTGGGCCAGCCAGCTGGCCCTGTGGGGCGAATTTGAAATCTGATTGGTTAAAGAAACAGTCGCATTGCTAATGCAGTTTAAGTGACATGGGCCAGCACTTCTGATTCTAAAGGCCCTGGGCAGATTAGATTGACATGGCAACACATAGAGTTTGAAATCTGATTGGACAAAAAATCTAACATCCACATACACTTACTGGAAGCGGTGCAGCCAAGAGAAATACTACGAAATGAAGAGAATAGACTGTTGGGAATAAATTAGTACAATTTCATGGAACAAATATTAGAATTTAGGTTGTAAATGTAGGTCAGTGCTTCTGATAGTGTTTAGGCCAGCAGAGAAGGCCTTGCCTGCCCACCACTGCATGTTCACTGTCCTTATCCTGTCACAGTGACATGACTGCCGGAGTTGGGCATGATCCTTTGTTCTGGGAAGCAGCACAAAGCAACTGAACTCAAGACATCAAACAAAAAGTTCAGAGCCGAGCTCTGTTTTGTTGCCACAGTTTGCATACTGCCTTTTTACATCTTGTATAATTTCAGTGTATATTTTTTGTTTGCAATATACAGTAATTATCACCAAGTGGTTAAACATAAGAAAGGCTTATAGTATTCAACTGAAGATGGCAGGAGTAAGCACTCAGATGTGTCTGACTTTCAAATCAGTGACCAGTCTTATGCAGATCTTGCCAAGAATACATGCACACTCATGGATGGCAAAGTTTTCACCAACTGTCAAATTAGTGTTTTTTTTTTTCTTTTTTCAACTTTTTTTGTTTTGTTATTAGAGAAGCGCAAAGTTTGCACTAACATCATCTTGCAGTTTATTTCCAAATACTATTTCCTGTTTTCTTTTTTTTATAATTTTATTGTAATGCACTTTCAGACTACTATCTAGAACACTAAACTAAACATTAAAATGCAACTGATAAACAACAAGAAAATGCATCCAGCAATTGATTTTATTAAAACTGCCACTCTAATTGCAAGCCTCTCATTAATGCCAGTGTGTCAGTAGTGAAAATGTACCTTTATAAGTGGACAGTTCAGTGACAAAATTTAAAGACAACAAAGAGGCAGAGTTGAAAAGGCTATGCACACAAATTCACATCTGCATGACAACCACAGTATAAACTTTTTATTAAAAGTGCCGATTGTCTCTGAACATTCCCATGTACCTGCTATCTGTTTTCCTTCTCATGCACTGGAGGCTGTTTTCACTGCAAATCATAAGCCAGGTCCATCATTCTGCCTCCAGTGTCAGGGCCAGATTTTCAACACAGGGCATGATTTACATGTTATACCTGCAAAGCCTTTTCTTTTCTGCATTATATCTACATTCTGGTTGTTCCCTTGCTTCTACAAAGTGAAGACTTGATATTTTGACTCAGAAGTATTCTGCAGTAAATGCTGTGAAATACTTGACAACATTCTGCATGTCCCTGTACATCTGCCTCTATTGTTGGATTATATCTTTCATGATACCGAATTCATGAGTAAATAACACAACGTGACAAACACCACAATATGTACACATGCTGTCTTCTAGAACCCGTAGACTTGTTGCTGGATTTCTTGGAGCAAGTTACATTGCATTTTGGGCAATTGACTTCACTATAGAGCTACAGCCATGTGCACTACAGCGCTACATGTGATATCACAGGTGCTTGTTAAAGCCTTTCCATATTACATGCGGCCTGCCACTGAGTTCCAAATTGTTGCAACTTCACCGCTGAAAGAAACTACACTTTATTTTATTTCTTTACCTCTCCTTTGTCTTCTAACACCCTCTCATTTTTCTTCTTCCTGGATTTTTCAGAGAATGATGAGACAGGTGTGATGGATAGTTTGCTGGAAGCCCTACAGTCAGGAGCTGCATTCAGAGACCGCAGGAAGAGAGTGCCAAGAGCCAGAGGTGAGTCTGTTATTCTTTACCTACATTTAGACACAAAGAAGCACACAATAAAACCTTCTACACATATTGTCTAAAAAAAAAAAAACTGAGGTCAATGTTCTGAGTCCAGTCAGATATTCAAAAATCATAATGAATTGTGTTCTAAAGCTGCCAACTTGCACCACTTGCATATTCATGTTGGTGTATTTTTTGTGTGTTTTGTTTTTAAAAACTGACTCAGTTGAATGCATCCACAGGTTTTCATGCCATGGTGCTATACACTCTCATTCTCTGTCATTTGCAAAATACATTAGTTTGTTGATTGCTCACATGCTTGCTAGCAGAACAACACCAGAGAATCCTCACCCTGACGACATTGCTATAACCTAGTGATGTTTGGAGCTCTGTAAAAGACAGTACACTCCCTTTGTTTCCTGGAAGTTTTAACTCTAAATCTAGGATTTGAAAAAAATGGAAAGAACACACACAAGATGGATGTGAATCCAAGATGGATTGAATTTATTGCTCATTAATCCTTAGGATGAGTTGATAGCTGTGCCCTTAAACATAGTATTTCTTGGTAATGAACTTCACAGGCATTCTTTCATCTCATTTATGCATCTGTCTGATCCCTCCTAGCACTGTACATGTTGGCATTATTTGTCCACTGCCCTCCTCACAGATAACCAGCAGCAGATGATCAGCCCCAGCTCGTTCCGCCAGGTTCTCAGGCCCGTTAACCATGGTAAAGAATAAAACAAATAATAAAAAAAACTCACAAAGCTAGAACCTCAAGCATGCGCAGCTTTGCCTTTGATTTGCTGTTGGATATTTGCCTTTTACACATCTTGCAAATAATGCTAATTCTTCTTGACTGTTTATTTGTGCTGCTTTTTTGTGTGTCCAGTGAACTTTTCAGTTGTCCCTTTGCCTTTTTGTGACCTTGTCTGTGCCTTTTGTGTGTGTGTGAAAAGCCATTGCTGAAACAGCTTGAGGCAGTGCCATGTGCTGAGTCTGAGAGAAGCAGGGTCAAGATTATTTGGAAGCAGTGTGTGGGCTGTTCTGGCAGCTCAGTTTGATAAGGCTCCTAATTTGTTCAGTGACTGCGACATTTTGAGTTCAGCTACAGTACAGATGTCTGTTGTTCAGATCAGTGTATGAGTCAAATGCCTTATGTCTTAATTTTCTCAAAGCTGACCTATGAATTATTTTTCATTAGGAGTGAGGCATGTGCAGTGTGATCAAGCATACAGACTAAATGATGTGTTAAAAATTGGGTGTAAACTACAAGTATCTTAGAACATTTCAGATGCACTTCAGTGCTGCCATTTAAAAACTATGTTAATATATTAATGTAAAAATGGCAAGGGGTCATATGTCTAAGTGTATGACTTCCTGGGAGTGAAGACCGGATGGGATACTAATTATATACCACATTAAATTGTCCTATATGATTAATAGTTATGAACAGATATTTTACTTTGCTGTTGTTAAAATAAACAGCAGCTTTCTTCCCTTGTCAAAGGTTTTCTACAATCATTACAGAAGCACTTAAAGAATTGCTCTGTAACTGTATTACCTTTTATTACTTGTAATTGAAATCCCAGTGGGCTGAGTACAGGCACACATGAATAAAATTATTCACGCTCAATCCACCCACATCATTGATGGCAATGATAAAAGGCCTTGCTCTGTTGTTCTGCTCCAACTTATCTGAAATTAGATTGGAAAGGGACGAGGGGGAGGGAGACATACAAGGTGGGAGGAAAGAGACAGATAGAGGTGGCTGTAACATAAGCAATGGAGAGAAGTGGTGTGAGGAAGAAAAATTGAGCTTGTTGGTAAGGGTCAAACTAAGGAATATTGTATAAGGAAGAAAAGAGGGCTGCATATGGAAAAAGGGGGCTCAGATGCTTTTTGTGTGTAAGAGAGCATGAGAGAGTCAGTAAATGTAAGACAGAACAAGCCAGAGCTAAATTGTATTAACAAGGGATCCGGGTAAAAATAAAGTGCAGTGTGTAAAAGCTGCTGTTCACTGTCCATATTGTGAAAAGACTTCATGGTGTGTTATACAGGTAAGAAGGTCCTGGAAGGTTGCTGGCCCAGATGCCTCCTGCTGGCAGCTTCAGACATGACTTTGTTGATTTATCACGCTAAAGGCTGTAGCCTGTCACTGCAGGCCTCGTACTTACTGCCAGCCTCCCAGAGCAAACACAGCTAATTACTTTTCTCTGCCCGGCCCCAGCACCAGCTCAGCCCTCTCAATGCCCATTCATCTTAATTTCCCCCTCTCTGCCATCTGCCTCCTAAATAACACTCCTCCTCATTTCCCTACCATCCTATATCCCCGCTGTCTTCTTCTAGACTCTCATGGCCTGAATGGCCCTCCCAAAACATAATTGCCTTTTATTGGTATGGAGTCTTTCCACTTCTCGTGTCTCACCCGTTCTCTCCCATTTCCCTTCCCTCCCTCTCTCCTAAGGAGATTCAGGCCTTAATTGCCTTGGGTTTAGTCGCCGGAGTGCGTGAAACCCACAGAATGCTTTCAGTTTAGTTGGGAGGTGATGAAGTTTAGTCAACAGCACAAGCACTTAAACAGCTGCTTTCACTTTCACACAACCCTACCACCTCCTTTCCCCCAGTTTTAAATACCCTTTAATAATTGATCTCAGGGGGATTTCTACACTCCAGTGAAGCAGCAAAGAGAATTAAAACAGAAACATCTGTGTCCAAAGATACTGTAATTAGTAGTGAAGGGGAAAGATTTGAATGGTCAATCTGAACCTGCATGTTGCTATTAAGCTTTTGCACCAAGAAAGATTCAATCAAGTGCAGCGGTCTCTTGTCTACAGAAACAAATCAGATGGCTGGTAGAGTGTGATGAGACCACAGAGTAGTTTGATTATGGCTATAGTGCTTCATAGCCATGATGAGTGCGATGCAATAGAAAATAGGATAAAAATTTCTGGCCTGTCTACTCCACTGTTCAATGCACATGAGGGGCACACGTCGTTCCTTCCCTTCTTTTTTCTTCTTTGGGTTAAGTTAGGCTCCCTGAATTCTTCTCCATTTCCTCTGTCTCTCATCTCCTCTCCTCCCCTACTCATAAATTGGCTCAGCACACTTTAACATGAGCCAGCAGCTAAGGTGTTCAGCTTGGTCTGCAGTCTCTCTCAGCACACACATATACATAAAAGTACACAGACACACTCACAGACTTCAGGGGATGAAGGTAAGCAGGCTTTGTGGATGGCTGTGGCCTGGGTTAGGATAAGGCTGTGGGACTCTAGGGCTCCTCGGCACTCTAAATTGGATTGGGCTCCACAGAATGATAGATCGATGGTGGTTAGCCACACAGGTGTAAGAGACTTATTGAATCTATAAAGCAGCCATAGCTTTTAAACTGTGTCCTTCTGAAAACATCTCTCCAGGCACTGTCTGGTCATTTCAGCCATCTTTGCAAGCTCTCATCACAGCCACCCTGACTCCCAGGCTGGTATGTGCACATGCATGTTGAGGACATTCACATAACGGCACGCTTTTAGTCACTGTGTTGACAGAGAGCAGGAGCCTCTTAAGTTTGTAAGATGGCACATAGGAGTGTATGTGTGTACTATAACGCCCTTGGACTGGAATGATTCGTTATGGGAATGTGGTGAGGAGCAGAATCTGTGAAGGGGTAAATGTCTCTGTCTTTAGGAGCAATTACTTTAGATGTCTTTAGTGTCGCCTGACCTAACAATTATCATGTATGATATAGCTCTGAACTAGAGCTTAAAATTGATGTAAAGGTCACTTCACAAAGTCAGTGAACCCCTTAACCAAATGGAAACGGGAGTTATTTTTCCTTACTTGCACTTGAAAGTGTTATGGTTTTCACCCTAAAAGCCAGCCTCTAGTTATTGGAGATCCTGTGTGCTATCTACTGGTCGAATCAATTTTATGACCCTTCTTTCTGAATTTATGTTTTGTATATAATGTTGGATCATTGGTTCATGCAGGCAGCTTTTCAGCACAGACTTGAAATGGCTCAGGTATAGGTGCAAATGGTAGTCGGAAATGACTAATAGACTTAATTTGAGACTCAGCCCACAGTGTCTTTCCGAGATTGTGGTGAGGAAATGATTAAGACAAAACTGGGGAGAAAAAGTAGGATAAAAATGAAGTTGGTTTCCTCTCAGCTCCTCTGTCGCTTCTGTGCTCACATGTGAGACATTGATGGAAGCAGTAAGAGTCAGCTGCTGTATATTTCTAAGGCTCAACTAGTGGGTTCAGCTGCTAGATGCTTGCCATTTTTGATTGGGGCTTTTATATTCTGTGATATGTGGATTCCACAGCAGGTTACTGTACCCTGCATATTGCATATGTGTGTTTTCATCCCTCTTTTACATTTCTCTCTTTTCATATTAATGTCATTTACGGGACAAAGCTTCACATCCTTCTGAAGTTTATTATTTACTTGTTGACTTTGTTTTGTCTGTGCTTTATCTCCTTTCTGGCCTTGTTGCTTTACCCTAGACATGACATAAGCAGTAAAAGAAGAGGTTATTAAATCATTTCTGTGAGCTCAAGACAAAAGGAAGATCATGGTTGCTTTCCTTCCTAGATCTATGTGAATTGATACTAGATGTCAGTTTTTTTTTTTTTTTGTTTGTTTTTTTTTTTTTGAAAGTGCAACTGTAGAAGTTGCTGATTTATCTGCATTTGGTCATAATATATCATCCACACATCACATACAGCCCGAGAGCTTTTCATTAAAGTGACAGATTATTGCAAGAAGCTTCTGTTCCTGAACACAGTGTTCACTCTCCAGCTTTCACACATAATGCACTCGTGCATACATGCATATAAATTGTCATCTTAAACCCTGTGTTTTAATGATGTGCAGGCAAAACGTTAGAGGCCATTACTGGGTTGGAGAATTTGCCATATCGAAGATTTGGATGGGTGTACCATACTCTGTGTCATCTGACCACTTGGAGTCACAGTGTCTCTCTTAATGCCACACTTGATTGGTGGGTTAGATGTTTAACTATTCTTATAGACAAAGGCATATCCAGATGGGAAAGTGCACCTTGACCTGCCTTTGTCTGCCTGAAGTGCTTTACTTCGTGTGTGTGTGTGTGTGTGTGTGTGTGCATGCATGTTTGAGCCTATGCACACATGCATTGAACAGATGGAGCAAAAGGGCACCTTAACAAAGTGGCTAGTGTAATTAGGTCCAGCCAGGCAGTGAAACTTGTAGAATAGTAATTGAGGGTTGTACAGAATGATGAAGGAATGATTTTTTAAAAATACCTTTATTCAGGTTTCAGATGTGCTCCCTTTTCCTGGAATTCCCTGCTACATGCTTACACACTTAGACTCAGTCACACATGGAAGCTGCTCAGTGTAATGCAGTCTGATCTCTTGGCCACTTAACAGTCCTTGAGTAGTTGGTGATTTATTGCACCAGATTTATTCTGCTAGTCTGGCAATTGAACCAGGGACTTTCAGACACAAGCCACTGTCTCTAAGCTTTAGGTTGGAATCAGCTTGAATCAGCTTCTTGGGATAACTGAATGGTATTAATTTCCAAAGATACCATGTGCAATATATATAGTACAGGCAGTAATTAACATGAAATATGTTTCTGTTTGAAACCTTTTGGCTATAGATTATGGTTTTCCATGTGGCCTGCCACTCAGTGTGACTGTAGTGCTGTCTACTCCCAGTGTTGCCTTAGAGGTGATAATGAAAAATGGC